CCGAGAGCGTCGGAACATTTATTGCTAACATACCTTTTCTTTTTTCTTTCTTTCTTTTTTGTTTTTTTGTTTTTTTTTTCCGGTTTTCTTTTCTTTCGTTGAACAAACGCGTCGAAGGCATTTGACCATTAGTTGAATTACGATCCGCGCGAATCTACAAGTTTACATTCGATCGGCTTATCGTCTCTAATCAATAAATACATTTCTCCGGTACACGTTTTCCGAAAAAACTCGGTGCAACCTCCCGATATGCACAGAAGAAAGAAGAACGACGAAGAATGGCTATGCGGTGTGAATTGTTTTCTCAATATTTCTCACAAACAAACGGGTAAAGAGGCGTTTCACCGTTTTCTTCATCTTTTTTTTTTTTCGTTTTTGCTTTTGCCTTCTCTTACAATTGTTAACCATATTTATCAAGTGTTGGTGTTATTATAATTACCGTTATTAAATGTTATTGATATTAATATTAATATTATTATTATAATAGAACGAGAGCACGTTCTTTTTTCTTTTTTTTGTGAAAGTGTGTTCACGCTGCTCGTTTTAAGATAATAACGCAACAAATGCTCGGTACGAAATATGCGTGAAAACCGTTGGATAACACTTTGTTGTTGTTGTTTTTTTAAAACTGTTCTTCTCGTTTCTCGATACAGTACGCATGGCCGTTCGTAATTATGGTAATATTCTACAATCGGTTTCTCTTAAAAAATAATACCTACAGAGAATAGAATCGAGTATTAACGAGCGCGTTTTATTCTTTTTTTTTTTCCGCTAAATATACGCATGTACCATATTTTTTTCTTTTTCTTTATTCCCCTCCCTATTCTTTTTTTTCGCTTTTTTTTTTGTAATCCTTCGAACGAGTTAAAGATAATTATTAAACGGAGTCTCCGTGTCCCATTGCGCGTACTGCAACTTGTACCATTCTCTGTTCACAATATGTATCTCTTACGCTTTTGTGTGGTGTAACGCGATTGTGTAACCGTTGTGTGTGTCGAGTCATTCATTTGGTTTATTTTGGCATACAAAATAATTTTATTTACAGTCTGACAATAATATTAATCGTTTACCTATAGTCCTTTATACTAAGTGGCAATAGTATAACTCGAATTACTTACTATATTATGCGGTTCTTTTCGGCTATGTACATAACAAAAAACGGCACGAATAAATATCATTGGACATGGACCAAGTTTTTCTTTCAGTGTGAATGCACGCTCGATGCTTTCGCACAAACGATTCGTTTGTTAGGGACATGTCGAACCTGGTAGAAAATTCATCTTTCAAAGAAAACAACCAGACAAGGTGGGGACACTATAAAGTACTACTTGTACAAATTAACAACTACGTAGTAAACTAGAATTGCTCTTCTATATACTTTGATTGAAGACGCGGATGTGAAACGTAAAATACGCGATCAATTTACTTGCATAATTCGTTATTATTCGGTTTTTTTTGATTCGACTCAAACAACTGAGCATAAGGAGGGACGCGATACGAAATAAAAGTCTCGTTAAATGCACAATGAACGGAGGAGAAATGAAATGATCTATTTAAAAATGGACGATAGAAATGTGCAATTAAGCGACCTACAATGATTGCACGTTCTCGCTTCATCGGTAAGAACGTCGTGTACTAATACATTTGTGTTCCCTAAATCCATTGAACGACAATGATAAAAAGCTCGTCGGCGACGCGCAGCACGCAAACGTACAATGATTATACATATAATCTATAATTACTCGACTCGTCGAGCATTCAATTTATATAAAGATGTCCCTGTCTAACGAATCGATCGACGATCAATTGAATTTAGTCGTGGAAATTGGCGATGCGTTGTGTCGCGTTCTTCGATGCAAAGGAAAACGAGTGGTAGTTTGAACGGAATAAACGAATGCAAGACGGGTGTGAAAAGAATCAGTCAGCCCTCGAGATGAAATCAGAAGTTCGACTGGCGCACCTTAATTATCGTGAGAAAACAAAAAAAAAAAAAAGAGAAGGTATCAACTCTTATAATTCGTATTATCTTCTACCATGCTCTATTGAGAACAGTATACATGTTCGAACAATGATCGTTAAAATCGAAGGCAATGATAACGTTTTAAACATCGTACGTGATACGCTACTCATTCTCGCAACGAACGACGTAGAATACTCATCGTGCAAGCAGAACTTTGAACAATCTTGAGGGCCTGATCGATGCAAGACGTGTTCTTTCGCAATGTTTTGCGCGTAGACGAGTTTAAAGAATACGTCTCGTATCTTACATGACGATAAATAGAACGACGTGTGCAGGTCACGAACAGAGTGCAAAATCAGTCGCGTAATCCAATGACCAAGGACGAAGTGAAATTTCCTTCCCTCTTAACTTACTGTATTTTACCTAATTTCACCTGAGTAAGAATCATTATTTTCCTTTCTTCTCATTTCTCGTCATTTTTGTATTTTTCTCTCTCTCTTTTCCTCTCCTGTTTCGAAATCGAAAGCTTGAATCGCTGATTGATTTACGTTCAAACTTCGGCTGCTAACGTAAAAAGCTGCCGACAGCTTTTTTTCTTTTTTGCGCGACCTTTCAATCGATGAAATTCCTCCGATCTTCTGTTTATTCTTCCTCGTCGGTGAAGAACTTTGGAAAAAAGTGGAGGTCCCGACTTGTCAAAGAATCAGCTACGAAGGATCCGCGTAATTCTCCTCTGGATCATCCTTGGACGACGAAGCTAACAATGTGGAAACGAGGACGATGATGAAAGCTGCATTTCCATTGAAGTCTCAAACGCAGTTTCAATAAGGACGAAGAAGCAAAACGAGATGAATTCCTCCTTTCAGGCGGATATCAATCAGGTCACTTTGGAGGGCTTCCTGAAGACTTTTACCGACATCACTTTCTACCGATGTCCGGATACTACGACGTGTGAGACTGCTGTGACTGCGATAGCTTGCTGGAACTTTTGTGGTGGCTAGACGTGTGTTTCTCCTGA